CTCTTTCCGCTCCTAAGTCCAGTGCAAGATCGGTTCATGTCAGTTGTCGCCGCTCGCTTGAGGAGGAAAGTGCTGCCTGATTGCGGCAAAAAGTAACAGCTCATGGTGTCACGGTTTTGTTGAAAAGGTAAATACAGCTTTTTGTTTTTTTAGTGATTTATTTTTGCAGCTATAACGGGACATTTTATGTGGCTCATTATTGTAGTAAAAATAGTAATCGCATGCTATGGTTTCATAGGATTGTACAATTGTTGCTGAAATAAACAATTATTTTTGTTGGTTAATTTGAGATGTTCTGTTACAGTTGATAATAAAAGTACAAAATCTTTGGTACTAATGTTGGTTATCTCAAATTAACACTTTCTTGATAAAAAATAATACATTTTTACAACGAATAGCTTACAATGTTGTATTAGAAATGATAAAAATATTGAAAATTTATTTACTGAAATTCCAGTCTTAATTAGACAATCTTTGAATTCCTCATCCACTGTCGCTGAATCTATTTTAAAGGCAAGTTTAAATAATTATAATAGCCAATTTAAGTATCAAAACATTGATTTTAACGATATAATAAAATCTTTTAATCAGCTAAAGAAAAAAAACCGCTGATTTATGGGGTAATTCCATTGAAGTTTCTAACTCGGTAATTGAGACAATAGCTCCAATCCTAGCTTATGTATTTAATGGATGTACTGATTGTGGTATTTTTCCTGAGCTCATGAAATATAGGAAAATTATTCCTTTTCATAAACACCTAGTTTTCTGTGACCTATCTTAGGCATTTCATTATGTTTTTCATGAAACATTGATTAGTAAACTTCATTTTTATGGATTTAGAGATAATTCATTGGATTTTATTGTCTCGTACTTGACTGACAGAGTACAGAGGGTTGATACCAATGGCAAAAGATCCCCTGGGTCGAAAGTTAAGATGGGTGTTCCGCAGAGCTCAATACTTGGTCCTTTCTTGTTTTTGATTTATATAAATGACTTGCCTTATTTCGTAAGGAATGATCACGAAATAGTTTTCTTTGCGGATGACACTTCACTTTTGTTTCAAATTAAAAGAGGGTTACAACTAAATGACGATGTGAACAATTCTATCGCTAAAGTAGTACATTGGTTTAATGTAAATAATCTTCTTCTTAATGAAGGAAAAACAAAATGCCTAAAATTTGTACTACCTAATGTTAAAAAAGTAGATATAAATAGAACTTCGCTAAAATATCTTTCATTTTGTAAAACAAAATACAAAAATAAAGAGATTTCTATGACAGTTACATGTCTTAATTAAAATGTTCCAAACCTTTATATTACAGATTATCAATCAAAACGTAACAATATGACATAACTTGTAAAGGTTTATATTTTTATCCAATTTTTTTTTTTCAAGAAAGTCGGTGCATATCTGTTTGTTCTGCAATACTGGATTTTTTTTTACAAGAATAACGCAACAAGGAGGACCCTTTTTTAATAAATATTCATAATAAATTTAATAACTAACTTAAAGGTCTGAATGCAATTTGATCCAGAAACAAAAAACCTTGAAGTTATGTTGTATTGAGCTGTATAAACAAAATAATTAAAAAGTTACAGGAATTTCAAACTTTCAAGAGCGTTTTATCTCAAATTGAGATTTTTACTTTGTCACGTTTTTGTCGCAAATGAGCGATATACACATAACAATTTGAGCTCTTTTGAAATGTTCATAGTTCATACGGAAAGTCATTGAATGGAAAATTGCAAACTACGCGTTGATTGCCGCTTTTGAAAATTGGAATTTGGTGAATTTTCATTGGTTAATGCACCATCGGCTGGTCGCACATCATGGATGTGTGGTGCGAGATGTTCCTATTGAAAACAGATATAAATTAGAAAATTCGTTTATTTATAATTTACTGATTTTTCATCAACAGCCTAATAATGTCCCCACAACCACATAATTAGGCTTCCTTTTCTTATGGATGAAATCACATCTTTTATTAAAGTAAAGGAATATCAACTTTTTTAGATAAAAGAGTCCATAATTGAGAACTTTTTTTATCCTAAATCATACAGGACCACTAAAAATGTTTTTAAGTAGTTAATTTTTAGTTAAAACAAATTCTTTATAAAATATAATATTTATTCATATCAAACATAAGAAATTAAGAAAAAGATAATCAAACTAATAATAACTGTCAGCAATGGAATGATAAATTGTTGGGTACACACATCAGCATATTAGGCTATTAAAAAAACAAAACTAAAGGAAAATTAAAAAAAATAATATTTGAATAGTATTTTTGTGTTTATAGTCTACCAATAGGTTATATGGTTAGATACTAAATTTAATTGTAGGTATGTATTTATATATTTATAGGAATATATTAAAATTTATGTATATTACAAGAGTGATATTGAAAAATGAAACATAGTGTAATATCTCTGATTATACAGCGGATGAATACTTGGACTATTATTTTTATATTATTATTTGACCACCAATACTATTATTTTACCGTTCACAATATAGTCTTGCGACTTGAATATAATTTTATGTAAAGGCTCGAGGTGCAAGTTTGAAATTGGGATAATGACTTTTTTTAATACCGAGTAGCGATACATTGAATTGGAATATTGCATAACGTCACATTTTACATTTTCTACACATCTATGATGTTGTGACCCCCAATACACTATCGCGAACTTTTATTATACCTAAGAAACCAGGGGCAGTAATTATATAACCCTGTGAAGTGAATCGTATCATTAGCTACGTAATTAGTTTCTTCTTATATTCAATGTATATATGCTGGTGATTCAATAGAGGCAAAGATAATATATTACTATTAGCTTTTTAAAGATTTATTAGTAATTCGGATATTCATTTTACAAACAATGTACATTTGAGCAATAATATTGTAGCAGAAAATTTAAATCATTATCGTATAAATGTAACATCGATTCATATTGGCGCTCTAAAAGCTATCGGTGAATAATGAAATCACGAACAAGCTCCGAAATCTGTATTACTAGTAGCATAACGTTCGCATTCATAAAAGTATATAACTACCACGGAACCTGCGCGTCTGAGCTGGTAAATTGGAAATGTAATTGAATTTAAAAATGTGTACGCGCATTTTGCATCTGAAAAATGAACGTATTCGCATTGTTAGTAATTCAATAGTAGATTAGTTCGTACCATTTGTTGTGTACTGAAACAGAAAGTTCGGTGTATAAGAGTAATTCTAATGTGTATGTCTCGTACGCATGCATCTAATACCACTATATCATTGAATGATTTTAACAGCATTAAATATCTATACGCAGTCACTTCATCGATCATTATCATCGCCAGCCCGTTAACGTCCCCATCTATGGGTGGGTGGGTGAAATCGAATAGAGAGTATAGGCCATGGTCCACCACAATGGCCCAGTACGTTTTGGTGGGTATTAACGACTGCATATGCAGCCAGGATTGTGCGTTTGTATGCTTGCAATAAATAACTACTGAACCTATTTTATATCTTATTTCGCTACTTGTTAAACTTAAGTTTTTACACTGACTGTATCATCGGATCAGAATTAAAAGAATCATGTCAACTATTAGCAATAAATCTTAATAAGCTATTAAGTTACAGTTTGCGTTGAAAAAAAACAACGGGCATATAATGTTAAAACTTGAACTAGCTTTCCGCCAGCGGCTTTGTCCGCGAGGTCTTGTATTATGCGTTCGCCAGCGTGGTCTTGTATTATATATAAAAACTTCCTTTTGAATCAGCCTATCGATAAAAAAACCGCATAAAAACTAGTTTCGTAGTTTTAAAGTTTAAGCATACATAGGGACAGAGAAAGCTACTTTGTTTTATACTATGTATTATTTACTAAGTTACATACTCGTATGTTGAATAGATGCCCACTCGCCTAATGGCTTGGAAGCATTAGACTATACCAAACAGAATTACACTCGAGAAACAATTTTTTCTTATAACCAAATAGATTGTTATAGGCTGATGTACGAGCTATGAGCATTAGGATATAGATAGGTGCGGAGGCAGGCTCGTCCTTTTGAACTATCCTTCCAACTATTTTTAATAACACACTAAGACAAAGCACTATAATTACTGATTTTGGTTGATGAATTAACAAACTCAATTAAAGGGCTCATTGTTAGAATTTCAAATATGTAATATATTTTATATTATAAGATAAGCTCTATTTAATTTAAGAAAACATGTTTAAATTGATCATTTTCAGATATTAATCTGTAATTTTCTCACCTAATCCTTTTATTTGATACCAATATAGTGAGGGTGCAGACATAGCTAGCAAAGATTACAATATTATACTGGCAAAATAGCTAGTCTGCCATTTTGGATAGTCCACCATATTGTATCTAGATTTACATAAATTTAAATATCCTGATCTCCTCAAAAAATTGTTTGATTTGATACTCATGTTATAAGAGTGCTTACAGATAACTAGTCAGCCATCATAAGTGGTCCGCCATATTGGCTTTATAATTAAATCATTTTATTATTTTCGTGTTATTCTTAGCAAATCCTTTCATTTGATATCCATAACATTACATTATATAGTACATAATGTATACATATAATATATAGTACACATAAAATAAATTGGCTACCATCTTAAGCTCTCTGGCATATTCAATTTACAATGATAAAATAAAACCTGCATGCTTAATTTAAGCCTAATCGGTTAAAGGTATTTAACTGCTTTAAAATTGAGTTTTAAGTATTAACGAACAAAATTATATTACAAGTTAAATAAAATCTTGTAAACATAACAAATGAAAATATTTATTTAAATCTATTTATTTTTCTTATTCAACCTTTTCTTTCCAATGATTTTTATTTTAATTTGCTCTGCTGTATACGCCCCATTTACACATCACTCGCTCAACCTCTTTGCACTATCCGCGAGCCTCGGTGATAGCGCTGGCTGGCACGAAACAAATGACGCCCGTTTAAAAATTCAGACGCGTTTTGTGCACCATCGTAACCGCACTGTCAAAACGTCACACTGTCAAAATGTCCTCCGTCAACATAGGTGACAGACCGAAATGGAGGAGAAGAAAGTCATCGAAATCGCCGACGCAGGACGACAACGATTGCGCTAGTCTCGCGTGGCTTCTGAACTTTCGCTTGGACGAGATAGTGAACGTCAAAGTGCCTGATGATGGGCCGGCTTTCAGAAAGGAGCCAAAGGTCATGGTGCCTGATACGCCACCGGCGCCGAGGAAACCACCTTACACGTACCCGGAGCTCATCGAGAGAGCTTTGAGAGAAAAAGGCGAACTAACCGTATCAGCTATTTACCAATGGATCTCGTGAGTACTAATTTACTTATATAATCAAAGCTTTTATGCAAACCTACTATTAAAATGGGTTTTCCTAATAGAAATAAACTTACTTTGCCAATATTTACACAAATTTTTCAAATTGCTATTAGGATTTAAAACGAATTTACGACAATATAATTCGTTTGAAATATATGAAAAATTATATAAATGTATTTCAATTATTTTCTTTAAGTATATCTAGAACATTGCATTTTTTATTTTTGCTTAAAGAAATTATAATTTCTTGCTGTCTAATTTTGATGTAAATTAATATCATAAATACGTCATCGTCGTCAGTTAATTTTTTTTGAATGCGTAACTAGCCCATACCATCTAGATTCTTTTGAATTTATTATTTGTTCAATTCTAGTAGACCACGCTCTGTCTTCTAGTCACTATAAAGTCCATCCAAAATGTTAACTCATTTAACCATTCAATAAATGAACTTTTAGCCCACCCTCAGTCAAACTGTTAATATAGTATTGTGGGGCTTAAGATTATGTAATTTTTGTAATGAAAAGTATTAAATAAAAAATAATGATGTTAATGGAGTAAAAAATACAGCGTTGATTAACATTCCCAACTCTCTAAAACAAAATAAAAATATTATGCTTTTTACGTAACAAAAGTTGTATGAACACAATGGTTATACGGAGGTGCTATCGAATTACGCACACAATAGCACACATACTAATATAATTTTAGTGTCATTAAGTAATAGAGGCATTGTTGTCGTTCCTTCGATGCCCAAATGGGGCTGTTAATGTCTTTTGTGCTGCCGATTCGAGCTTTTGTGGTGATCTAATCGGATGTTCGGGTAATTTCTTTTGTGATTTTACAGAAACATATGATCGGTGTTGGTGGCGTATTGCCAATCACTGTAACTAAAGCTTCTCAATAAAGAACTGATTATAAATGTTACCGTGATGAGCCCAACTTTGCTAAGTCACAATATAAAATATTATATTGCTTTAATTTTTAAACATTATCCATTAAGAATATTATATTGATTTTAAAGCCAATGCTTAAGCTCTTTTAAATAAGTGTGGAGTGCGAATAACTTGGACATAAGATAAAAGCGATATAGGTTTGAGTATTGTTTCTTTGTTATACGAGATGTGTATCTGCGCTTTTATGTATACTGTATTCACCAGTTCTTCTTATAGAATATAATCAATATCCATTATTCGTTTCAGAGAATATAAAATCAATATTTATTATCATAAATGTATACTTAAATAATCTAGCATCGTCTATAAAGCTTCTAGAAATAGGTATAATGTTTCGAAATCAAAAGTGTCTAACGATTTTTCGTATTTAAATACGAGATTAGAAAATTTTTAATAATGTTGTGTAATAGGGATGCGATATTTCATAAGGTTATATATATACAAATAACGAAATTTATTCTTATTTAATGGGAAATAAATTTGTATAATACTACAGTTTGTATCTATAAAACGGTGTGTATTATGTTCAATTTTCGATTAAACTTAACGTATCCCTCATGCCTTTCTCGAAGCTTCCAAAGTAAACGATAACGAAGTTAGCCAACGAAAATAAACAACTTTATGTATCGCAATATAAAGTGTAGCGGTCCACCTGTTTATTGTGTTGTCTTTTTTAAAGTAATCACTACTTTTACATCATACGAGGGTCAAACTGAAAGTTCTTAGAAAATCAAAAACTGATTACATTAGCCAGTTATTAGTTTTATTATATCTTTTCAAAATATTGTCCATTCACGTCAATACACCGCTGCATGCGATGGAACCACTGGGAAAAGCACTTTGCCCACTCGTCCTTAGGGGTCTATTCAATGGCATCGCGATACGCAGCCACCGCTTCTTCAGCATTCATAAACCGCTTTCCTTTAAGTTTTTCTTTAATTTTTGGAAATAAATAAAAATCACAAGGCGCGAGGTCGGGGCTATACGGCGGGTGACCCAGTAATTCAACGTTTGATGTCGCCAAATAGTCGATCGTTCGCTTGGCGGTGTGCGACGAGGCGTTGTCGTGGTGAAGGAGGATCCTACTGCGAGGTCGTTTCTCTCGAACTTTTTCCAAGACAAGTGGCAAACAATTGGTAGTGTACCATTCTGCAGAAACTGTTTTTTGATCCTCTAACACAATTGTTGCAAAATGACCTATCCTTCCAAAGAACGAGGCCACCATTTTTTTTCCCGCACTTCGATCTCTCTTTACTTTAGTTGGCAACTCCTCGAAAGGAAACACCCACTGAGCAGATTGTCTTTTGGTTTTAGGATCATAACAGTAAATCCAGCTTTCGTCACCTGTTAGTATGTCGAACACAGCATTTGAGTCACCTCCGTTAAATCTTTCAATCATTTTACGACACCAATCCACACGATGGAGTTTTTGAGCCTCAGTCAAATTATGAGGTATCCACCGGGCGCAAAGCTTCCTGACCGCTAAATGTTCGTGGAGGATTTTGTGCACTTGACTCATACCGATGCCTAAGCTTGTCCGAATCTGTTGATAGGTCACTCTTTTGTCAGTCTCTATCATACGCCGCACAACACAGATGTTATCTTCAGTCGTCGCCGTAGAAGGCCGTCCCTCACGTAAATCATCAGTGAGATTAGTGCGACCACGTTTAAACTCATTAAACCAGTTGTAAACAGTCGCACGAGATGGGGCTTCATCGTGAAAGGCCAATCGTAGTCTATCATAACTTTCTTGTTGACTTAAATGACATCGAAAGTCATAAAAAATCATTGCACGAAAATTTTTTCGTGTTAAATTCATGATGACGTGACACAGACAATTTTCAATTTGCCGCCAAATCGTAAAACAAATGACAAATGAATGAAATATATACTCAGTAATATTGGCAAAGAGTTATATTTTCAAATTTTAGAATTATTTTTTTATTATATTGTTTATAAGTGGCCAGTTCTAAGAACTTTCAGTTTGACCCTCGTATAATTTTTTAATTTTAGGATAATAAATTTTATCAATAATAGAGATGACATATGGCTTTTGACTTATTTCTTTATAAAACAGATAAGATAGTTATGAGTTGGCTGATGAAATAAAAGTGTTAAATAATTGAGTAGCTTTAGTTGACTTAATATTACATTCCACCAATACAATAATGTTGATTGAACGTAAAAGTGAAACAATGTATAAAACAAATTATAGTGTTTCCTTGTTTATCGATATCATTATCGACATCCGCGCACCCCTACTTTTGATACGATGTTATTATATATGTTAGCACTTCAAACCACGAGATGGTATTGTAATCACCACGGTTCTATTCGCTTATCTAATTGTCAACACAGGGATTCGGATGGTTATCGGAGCGTAAATATAGGAGCAATGTTATTAATTCATTATCGGCTCGGTAAGGTGCTCCGTGAACATTATCGATTTTGTGCCTGCGTTCGGAAGCTATTCAAATGGATTGATCATGTGTATGTTTATTCGGTTGACGAAGACGTCGAATTTTGATAGTAAATATTCATGGGTGAATCTGTAACTAAGTACTCATAGTAATAATAATGTTAAATTATAAGATAACCACAAAATTATATTGCATAAATACCAAAGTTCTAATAATAAGTAGCTAAAGTCTTTAAGTATAAAACAAGTCGCTTTCCGCTGTGCGTATGTTGTGATTTTTTAAGCTTCAAGTTGGATTTTCATGCGGTGTATATATAATACTAGCTTTCCGACAGCGGCTTCGCCCGCGTGGTCTTGTATTATGTACATAAAAACCTTTTTTTTTTAATCATATACCCTACATCACATACCCTATATATAAAAAAAAACCGAATCAAAATCCGTTGCGTAGTTTTAAATATTTAAGCATACATAGGGACAGAGAAAGCGGCTTTGTATTGATAGAGCAATTCAATAGGAAGATATATATGTATAATATATACGAGTATCCATGCAAGTGAAGCCACTGTTGGACAACTTGTAAATAGTAAATTAAACATGTCAACTACTCAGCTATGGCAGTAATGTTGATAGCTACTTTGTTATTTTATTTTAGGTACTGTAAAATATTGACTTTTTATTGATTTTTTTAATTGCTTTAGTTTTTATTTTTATTTTATGAAAGTTGGTACTTTCTTTCTACGTGATTTAAAATCGTATATCATGTCATGACCTAACAGGTGTTAACTCTTCACCCGCCCTTCTAAACAACCCAGTGAACCGTGTGACGTCAATAAAAAGAATTTAGCTAGGGGACGGGAAGCAAACCAACGTTTTGAGAAATACATTTTTTAGTTCTCGGCATCATATATAAGGACTTGCGATTATTATATATATATATATCTACAGTAACTTACATATCTATGTAAGAATTGGATTTCAAATAAAAATTATTGTTTATGGTGACCGTCCACACCGGCCGCAATCATACTTGCAGCACTGCGTTTATTCACATATATAAGAATTTATTTATTCATTTAACAAAGAATGACGACATCTTACCCCGTTACATACTTTATCATGGTTGTGAACTAAAAAAAAGGTAATACAGTTTCTGTATTACCTGTTTTCTGGCGGACGCAATGCTATGCTTCTATACTAATATTATAAAGAGGTCAAGTTTCCAACTTTGTTCGTCTGTAGGGGGAATATTCGGAAATTTCGATCCAATGAAGAAAATTCTTTTACCTACTGGAAGTTTTATCACAAGCGGGTGCTTTAGGCTATTGTTTAAATCGAAATCGAGGTATAGATGGATAGATAGATAGAATATTCTTTATTGTACACACAAAGACAAAGATACATTTATATGACGAAAACAGGAGACGTACAATTGGCGGCCTTATCACTAAAAGTGATCTCTTCCAGGCAACCTTGGGATGGAGTTAAATATAAAAGATCTAATGATGGGGTAGTGGATATAGGTTAACATAATAATATATTAAAAGTAACTTGTATTTATATAAACCTTTAGAAAATACAGTATTTATCGCGCGTCCGTTACGGTCTGTGCAAACCCTCATTTATATTGAAACGAATTGCTATTCACCGATAATATTATATGTATAAACAATGAACGATATTTACCTATCCATGTTTTTATTTCGGATTTGTTGGACCCAGGTAGGCAGAGAGGACCGAACCGTTACAAAGCACGGACCTCATTTAGAGTTCCGTTCCAATAAAACGAAAAATAAAGCCTTAATAATAGGAACACTCGGTTGTCAAGGTATTTTTTCCAAAACTGTCGAACTGATTTATAGGAATTTTGGTATAACGTAAAATAATGAATTTAACACATTGCGGCCATATATAGTACATATAGCTTCCTTCAGGATTACAACCAGTTTTCTGTTAAAATAATATGATGAGTGATGAAAATAATCATATTTCTCATATATACTTGGCTATGAATCGCAGTGTGATTTATTGTAGCTTATTTATTCACCGATTTGTAGTTTAGGCCTCGGTTTAGGGTCGCGGCCGAGCGAGCAATCGATCATCGGTACCAGCCCGGGATGTCACCGGCGGCGTGAGCGTGGCGAGCGTTCGCGAGCTTTTATGATTCGAGAACTTTTCTATCAACAGTCAGCATTATGCTTCGATAGGGATCTGTTTACAAACACAATATATAACCGAGTTGATGTGAACAAAAGGATTTTTGGTTTGGAAGCTGGCCACCTATTGTAAATTGGTTCTGAATAAAGCGATTGCTACGAGGGTCAAACTGAAAGTTCTTAGAACTGGCCACTTATAAACAATATAATAAAAAAATAATTCTAAAATTTGAAAATATAACTCTTTGCCAATATTACTGAGTATATATTTCATTCATTTGTCATTTGTTTTACGATTTGGCGGCAAATTGAAAATTGTCTGTGTCACGTCATCATGAATTTAACACGAGAAAATTTTCGTGCAATGATTTTTTATGACTTTCGATGTCATTTAAGTCAACAAGAAAGTTATGATAGACTACGATTGGCCTTTCACGATGAAGCCCCATCTCGTGCGACTGTTTACAACTGGTTTAATGAGTTTAAACGTGGTCGCACTAATCTCACTGATGATTTACGTGAGGGACGGCCTTCTACGGCGACGACTGAAGATAACATCTGTGTTGTGCGGCGTATGATAGAGACTGACAAAAGAGTGACCTATCAACAGATTCGGACAAGCTTAGGCATCGGTATGAGTCAAGTGCACAAAATCCTCCACGAACATTTAGCGGTCAGGAAGCTTTGCGCCCGGTGGATACCTCATAATTTGACTGAGGCTCAAAAACTCCATCGTGTGGATTGGTGTGGTAAAATGATTGAAAGATTTAACGGAGGTGACTCAAATGCTGTGTTCGACATACTAACAGGTGACGAAAGCTGGATTTACTGTTATGATCCTAAAACCAAAAGACAATCTGCTCAGTGGGTGTTTCCTTTCGAGGAGTTGCCAACTAAAGTGAAGAGAGATCGAAGTGCGGGAAAAATATGGTGGCCTCGTTCTTTGGAAGGATAGGTCATTTTGCAACAATTGTGTTAGAGGATCAAAAAACAGTTTCTGCAGAATGGTACACTACCAATTGTTTGCCACTTGTCTTGGAAAAAGTTCGAGAGAAACGACCTCGCAGTAGGATCCTCCTTCACCACGACAACGCCTCGTCGCACACCGCCAAGCGAACGATCGACTATTTGGCGACATAAAACGTTGAATTACTGGGTCACCCGCCGTATAGCCCCGACCTCGCGCCTTGTGATTTTTATTTATTTCCAAAAATTAAAGAAAAACTTAAAGGAAAGCGGTTTATGAATGCTGAAGAAGCGGTGGCTGCGTATCGCGATGCCATTGAAGAGACCCCTAAGGACGAGTGGGCAAAGTGCTTTTCCCAGTGGTTCCATCGCATGCAGCGGTGTATTGACGTGAATGGACAATATTTTGAAAAGATATAATAAAACTAATAACTGGCTAATGTAATCAGTTTTTGATTTTCTAAGAACTTTCAGTTTGACCCTCGTATTATGTATATAGAATCTCATTTAGTGAAACTTTTTTAGCCTATAGAAATATACTTAATCTACCAATCCTTTCGTAATCCAAGCAACTGCTTCAACTGTATGAGCTACCTTTATAAGACTGACGAATATCTCAAGTGCTTGTTTTGGCCAAAATTGGTGAAAGAAATATTACTTACTTCTTATGAAGAGCTTTTTAATTTTAATAATAGATTGAATCAGCATCGAATATTTGGGCTTACTACGTCATGCATACTTTATAATTTGTTTTTTTGCAGAGACCGTTTCCCGTATTACAAAGCGAACGATGAGCGCTGGAAGAATTCTGTGAGACACAACCTCTCCATCAACCCCCATTTTCGTAAAGGAGCGCGCGCGCCGCAGGGTGCAGGCCATTTGTGGTCATTGGCTGCGAACGCTATCGACTTGCTGCCCTTGAGAAATACCAGTTTTGAGGAGGAGATAACCGAGCTGGAACCCATTCAGGAAGCCAGGATAATACAATGTCCTAAGGTATGAATAAGTGTCACGATTTTACTATTCGAAAGGGGTATATTCTACTTAAAAAATGTACAAGCAAAAACCAAATATTCTTCTTTACATTATAATAATTTTCATAAAATGATGACATTAAATTTTATCTTTAGAATCACATGAAACTCAAGCGGTTAATATTAATTAGTTCGAAATACAAGATTTATTTATCATTAACGTACAAAGATGGATACCCAATACTCAATAACTTTATCGTTTCCATAGGTAATATAAAATAACGTTAGATAGTTAGTCTAGTAGTTACATCATAGTTTATAAGTTATGACAATAATAGGAAGGAGGAACACTAGTTTTTATAACTGTAATTTATAAATAAATAAATAATCCATATTTGGTATTATTGCTAATTGTTCTTAATCATCTATTCATTCATTCCAAATATAAAATAATAATAATTTCAATTATTCATAAAATATAGTTTGTAGGAGGCTAAACTAAACTAGACAATAAATTGCTTGTATATATTAATTACTTCTCTATAAAATATGTATACACTTACGTATAATATATACATATATATAAATATACGTCTTTAATATATTACGATCAACTTAAGTAAAAACTTTCCCTACGTGTTCAAAGTGATATTGTTTGATAAGTGATGAAATTGTAGACACTGTACATTGCAGATTGTATAATCCTTGATAAAAGACTTGAATTTTAATTTTCAAAGTTTATTAATACGTTATCAAGATTTTACAATAAAAATGAATAAAAGAAAAGGACCGTCATTGTTTCCGAATAAAATTACAATATACTTTATTTAATTTTATAACAAATCAGTGATCGTACTCATCCTGTAGCATACGTGGTAGTAAAATGGATAATTTCTCAATATTTTTCGTTTGTAAACTGTTCCAGGTGATTGTTCTCGACGAGGCAGCCATCGCAGCCGCCAGTATAATACCCGACCAAGACTTATTCACAGGTAGTAAAAGTAAGTTTATATATTGTTTCTCAGTCTCTGTTATATTATGGAAAGCCTAAATGATTTCAATATGAGGTTTTTGTAATATTTTAGAAAACTGAATAATCAAAGTAGAGCACGTAACTTCAATGGAGAGTCATAATTTTTCTATTTTAATAGATATATTTTATGATTAGTTTATGAAGTTTCACTAAAGTAGGTATTGTGTTACTTATGAGTTTTGATATATTTATGAGAGCTTAGTCGGTGGAGGTTGTTATAGCATAATAATATTGTTCAATGAATTTTAATTAATTGAAAACATACTCGTGAGAGTAATTTTTATCGGAAGTTAATTTTACGATCCAGTTCTGTGTTTTATGTTTTTATTTTAAAATTAAATCATTTATTGGGTCAAATTCAATAATGTTAAGCTAAACTCTATACCATCGGTTCGTAAATCTACGTCGGAAAATCTTCTTCCGAGAAGAATCGGCAAGAAAATCAGCAAGGGCTGTTTTTTCCATACTTGATTTTATACAAATATACCGAACTGAAAAAAACATTAGACGATAAGTCACTTTTCGGCACAATATTTGTTTTAGTTTTCTCTATGATTTAGACATTATTGCTTATATTAGTTTGCTTTATCCCAGATCTAAATGTAAAAATATATTGTTTGAAAAAATTAAATAAACAGAAGTCTTGAGAGTATACAACTATAGTTAGTTTTAAGGTATAGTTCTATTATAATCTCTCTGCAATAGCGTTAACAGCGTCCTTCGACGACGAGTCGTAATTATTACTTTAAAGTTCGCCCATTACGGGAAAGGCGAAGGACCTAAGTCTGCACAGTAATGTCTTGTATTCTCTTATTGTTTCCATTGGAATTTCAGTATACTGCATTTTAGTCTTTTTTAGTATTTGACAGTAGTTTTCTTATTAAAGGTTACTTTTGTTGACGTAAGTAATGTGTGGTAACGCTATGAAAATAACGGGAATTAGATAGGTATAATGTCCTCCTACTCTCAATCGAATTTCTCACTTAGTAAAACATGAACACACTAAGAAGCTCGTGTAAATATGTATAAGGTTTAATTTCTGTGGAAAATATCTTTGTGTTTTCCACAGAAATTGTGCCTTATACATATATGTATCTTGATTGATTTCTGCGGCGTTTTCAATATCTTATAATCATATTAGTAACAATTTTAAGAATATATGGAAACACTCGGAAATCTTTATGGTACTATAACAGAAGTCAATTTTCCGCGTAAGAAATTCAATCTCTAATTATTGATGTTAACAATTGTTTTTTATTTATTGTTTTTTCAGTGTTCCTCAATCCCGTGTCAGCAGAACAGGTGGTGAGGGAGTGCGGTCTTATCACCACAGACTAGTGCCTTTGTGTCAATTTAGGATTAAATTATATATGTAGTTAATTATTGAGACATCTTTATGACTTTTTAACTTAATCAGTGTTGTAATTAATTCAAATTAACTACAAGAATTTATTACATAAAGCATGTTTTATGAAGGGAGTGCCAAAGCGTCGATTATATGTTTCTAATGTATCAAATTAAAACCTTCGTAGACTTATCACTGTACTTACACCTGAAGCCATAAGCGAACTTTTTTGTGATTTTCGGTCAAATTATTTTCTAATAAACTTACAAATATTATTTTAGTAGGGTTATATTAAAGGCAGTATTTGAAACATTACCATGCGGCTTGGACCGAACTATACATTTTTTAAATTATTTTAATTATTCACACATTTAGTATAAGATGGTGTTGATTCTGCAGTTATATCCAGCCCTCCTTGCCCCGTGTGTTGCCACGCGGATCTGTTCATAATATACTCCACCAGTTGTTTTGTGACACGCGGCACGTGGCGGAGCGGGCGAGATCACTGATGCTCTAGGGTTGTTCAAATTTGACGCAAGATCCGTCCAGTGTCTCACGGAGGGTCATAACCTGGCCCATTGAAATAATTTACTATTACTTGATATAAGTTACTTTACTTTGCCCACGCTTTTTAGAATTAGGCGTGAAGATAAAGTAGTCGTAACAAAATAATATGAAGAGAGTTTCGAAAAAAATGAAATTAACTTTGAACACTCGACGGCTTTCTCGGATATTATCATTGTAAATAATGTTTTAAAATTCCTTTGAAATTGAATCTATTGCCTTAAGTCGTATTTCTTTCTGTAAAAATTAAGCCTATTTTCGGATATCCAATTATTCACTAGACCATGACATTATTACTGAATTCTTAAGAAACTTGAAAAGCTTCAGTTCATCTGCCATAAAGTTCTGTTTGTGAAAGTTGTAAATATATTTTCAATTTGAAATACATGAAATATAATAGTTATTTAGAATCCATTTCACTTCGACATAATTGCTGTTTGAGTGCTGAAACTATTACAAGGTTTTAGCATAAAAGCTTAAAGTACTATAGTTGCCTTAAAGAAACTACAATATTGTATTGTTTCTAGAGAATGTTGCAGTGTAAAGTAACAAACAATAGACTGAAATTAGCTTTCGTGAATAGAAATGTATTCAGCATCACGAATATAATCTCTAGAAACACATCGCAGTGGTTTAGCGAAGCGAATGCAGACGAGTTTACTTGAAAGAAGTTATTTAATTTGTATATAGCACACAAACAGAAATTTTGCTTTGAATTTATTAATAAATTCAAAGTTAGTATTATAATTTAATATAGAATAAAATCCTTTTAAAAGAACCGTAAAATTATGTAAATAAAGCATATTTTGGAATAAAGTATAAAATGGATATTTAGATAATGGATAAATCTTACGCCGGTTAGTTTGAAAGTCATAAGATTGTCTTAAGTTATTATTCAACTAATTAGAGTAATGTACAATTATTACAATTTTACTAGATTAACTGTAAAATTTGCGATCTCACTACCTATACAGTTAGAAACTATTTGTTTAGATAAGAATGGTGCGTTTGTAATAAAATAGACAGAAATATTTATATGTGTGTATTTTTTTATACATGAGTGTCACTCGCGCGTTTGTCAAACAAAGTAGGGCTCAACTAAGTAGAGCCAAGTCGAATCGAATCACATCACCGTTTCTAAACCAAGTGATTCATCGTGTTCCGGAAGGAGCGTACTCTACAAGAGCCTCGGTGTGGACATTACCTTACCTCCCGCGATTCAAGGTGCGAGGATAAGTGTGTCGCAACTGCGTAAAGTATAGCCTGTGCGTATACAAAATTAAAGACTTAAGTGTAAAACAAAACAGATATACAAAAAGAAATAATTAGGTACTTTTATCGGTCCTCACAAACATATTTAGAGAAAGAGAAAAACAATAATATAATTTCAATATTACTGAACGTAGAATACCTTTCGCTTTAATTTTTAGTCACTTTTTACCGATTATTGTATTGGGTCACCACTTTACTGAAATGTTATGTGTTTTTATTTATTAGTATATAGGTTGATATTTAACTTATTGATAAGTTTACAGTCTGACTCTATTTATACGAAGGATCGGTAAAATAAATAAACGTGTTCACAGTTATGAGTTTACTTTCAGACTATTTGATGTTGAAGTGCCACTTACAAAATACAAAATATCATAGATTACGTTGCCACAGAGTGGTCGACAAAGATTATAAAACAGATGTGCCACAACTTAATATCCAAGATAGATAGACAGCACTATTTAAGTTAAAATTAGAAAACTACATCAGTATTTACTGACCTGAAATAATAAGACCCAATTCAGATTGATGGAGCTTAACGATTGCAAATGTTATTGGGATCAAAGGCTTAACATATCTCCCAATTCAAAAGCACCGACGAACTCGCGATAGTAAATTTTTAGTCACCCATCCTAAGACCTACCGTTTCGACAGTTGCTATCTTCCGCATTCCGCGAATTATTAATTCAACCTTTATGAAAGTTACTAGCTTTCGTCAGCGGTTTCGCCCGCGTGGACCCTAGGGAAATGTTTAGTGGGATAAAAAGTATCCTATTATCTAAGTCAGCTAACACCCTATCTGTATACCAAATTTCATCAAAATCCGTTCAGTAGTTTCGGCGTGATTGATGTACAAACATCTAAACGTCTAACATCCAAACAAAGAAACTTTCACATTTATAATATTAATAGGATGAATATTATTTTTCTGTATCAATGTATTTTTACAACAAAGTAATAATATAGAACACGAGCAAAGTTAATGTGCCTGACAAATGCGAGTACGTTCAAGGCAAATCCTTCCTTCAGTTATTAAGTTAGTTTGAATAACTTTATTAACTCGTAGTATAGGTATCAAAATTAAACTTAAAAAAAGCAAGTTAAACCGAAATATTTGCATATCTAATTACTTGCAAAATTAACATAGGTAATACGTCGTTGCATTAAATGTTTAAAAATTCACAACCTGTAATGTTTTTCCCATGTCCAATGTCGTATTTAAGGAACGTTCCGTTTCTGCTCTGAATTTTAAATGCGTAATAAAATAATTGCCGTGTAATTACGGTTAAATATAAGCTTTTTAATAGGAAAAGTCTTCTTCCAGTAAATGTTTGTTGCTAATGTTAATTTGTTTAGAATTAAGACCTCATTAATTCAGTACCGCAAATTTAACATAGTATAATTAGAAATTTGCGCTTTTTACCAGTACTCTTTATTTACCTTATCGTTTAAAACTGCTTATCCGGCTATGTACTAAAATTAAGCTTTCTTTATTTATATATACATTTATCTTAAAATTAAATACAGTAAATCATTCTTATATGCAGTATTTATCTACGTGTGGTCATTAATCTTACTACTGAACTTTAAAGCAGTTACCGATAACCAATTAAACTAAAGTTCAAATTGAATTGACAGAATGATTTATGTAATACTAAGTCTTCATATCAAGCAACGGGAGAAGAAAAAAAAGCGCAACAGCAATTTCAGTCTAGTAGGCAAAGATTCTAAAGTAATTTCAGTGAAATATATATACAATTTACTCTCCTAGTAAACTCTGTTTAATACTACTCCGCCTATTTATGAATTATATTATTATCTTGTTATCAAATCTAAATATAATTTTCTTTAATAAAATAACTGCCATTATTTTAAAATGGATTAAATTCCTGTTCATTTATTGACTTCTACTTACATCCACAACTATGGAACTGTTCCTGAGACCAAGTCTCATTTGATATCGGTCATCAAACTCATAGTACTTAAGCTTCTATGATTTTATTAATTAATCATGACCCATATATATGACTAGGAACTAAACCATTAAGCGAGCTTTTCAAACGACACCTAGCATTTTGGCAAAAATTATAGCTCCTTAACTGCGAAATCCTTTCAGCACTTGTATTCGGGATGATACTCGAGGGGCGTGCCAGCGCCATCTATTATCGAGTCGGGGTCAAGTAATTTACTGCTTGCCCCGGGGCTGAGTCGTAATGCTCTGAGGGATTATGTCGGCTTGGCCCAGTCATTTTATGGAAGAATTGATTTACATGCTGGATCTTACAGTTTGAGGTTGAAGAAGGAGGCCTCCACTATAAGTTTGGGGCTCTCAGTGACAGCTTTTCAAAATTTCTTTTCTCATTTTAGAGTGCAATGATATTAATTGAAAGCTTAGCATTCAAAAGTGAAAATAATTCTAGAAAGTTCTATTGAAGTCACGCGATTATCAATAATAACCTACATAATAACTATTAACTATTCTAATAACTATTCAAATTCAAATGAAGCTTTTTTGGAGTTCATAATTCATATTTTCAAATCTACTCAACCGATTATGATAAAATTTGTATTGTATGTAAACCTTACTAATGAAATAAAACAATATCCGACCAGGTTGTGCTGTTCCAACAATATTCCCTACATACGGGTCAAACACCTTTTTTGAAGCCAGTAAAAATAATAGTCCTTAAAAATTAATATTAGACAACATTACATACCTACATTTGCATAAGCCTATTATGTAACTAAAGCAAACGCATAGAGCATTATGATAATATGAAGCAGTGAAAAATCACTTTTGAGTAGTGGTACTCGAATCGGCAACAGCTGTCACTTTTAAAATTTCAACTATCGTCGTCGAGAGACGCATTCTGCATTTCCTTTAATTTCAATTCTATTTTGTCTAGTACTAGTAGATGAATGCATATCAAAATTCAATACGTGATAAATTTTCTGTCCCTTCCACTACGTCACAGGAATGGTGAAAAATTTCACGGACTATTCCGGGGAAACATAATCAAATCATGACACTTAGCGTCACACGGACTGACCTCAGAATTTCGGGTCAATTATGCTTCATGGATTTCACTTTAGTCACTCGAATATGATAACGGCGGAGTTTTCAGTTTTATGGACTGGCGGCTTAAATGGTCCATAGTTGGAAAAAGTTTCTGCGAAAGTTGCCGATTTAAAGTCTCTTTATTTTCTATTCGGGAAATATGTTTTATTTTAAATTTTCAGCGTCATCATCAAATGTATAAATTAATATACAAATTTATTAAAATTAAAGCTAAAATATAAATTTTAAATCCTCGGATAGCCATTATCATAAAAAAAATACCAATATGTATGTTGACTTATAATTAGCAAGTACATGGCACTTTGTTTCTGAAATTATGAATTTCTGATTCTGGATTCAAATCTGTATGGTATGTGTAACAATTCTTTTTTTGCCATTAAAACTCTTTGCACCACGTGAAACATCATTCGCAGGTTCGTAGTGAATTGTAGTAAAATTTTCTACGTGCCCCTATAAACCCGGCACGCTTTGTATGAAATTTAACATTTTACATTCAAAAAACTTCCGTGCAAGTTTAATTCAAAGGCATCTCTCGCCACTTATAGCCTCGGGTCCCAAACCTAACCGCATATTGGCGGCAATA